CACTCATAAAACTGCGTTTTTACTGGTTATGGTTCTGTCAGTATGAGATTTGTCTCTAATTTACATGTTTTGTGTCGTCTAAACAGGACTGCAGCACTGATTATCCTGTTCTCTCAGTATCTTCGTCTCATTCCCATCCCTGTTCCTGCATACAGCGAAACCAAGAAACTGCACACATCAAAGTTCTTTATCTTCCAAACAATGCCTGTATATGATTTTATTTTGTATTATCCACTATCATTCCATTTCATTGATGCCAGTGTGTTTTTAAATTCTCTAATCCATACTAACATTAGATGTTGATTAGATTCTCCTGGGCATTGCTGTATCGTGGTTAGTCTGTTACCTCCTCACCATCTTTGACGTCCTATCATTGGATTCTACTCAGTATGGTCATCTGGCTCGCACTGACGTAAAGGGAAATGTCGTGAGCAAGGCTTCCTGGTTCACACTCCCTTATCCTGGTACGTAAGSTCACGGAACACAGAAAGATTGATCAAATTGTGTGATGAAGTAGWCTGACTCCTCATTGCAGGTCAGTGGGGCGTTCCAACTGTGAACCTTGCAGCTGTGGTTGGCATTGTGGCTGGAATAATATGCTCCATGGCAGAATCTGTGGGAGATTACCATGCATGTGCCAGGCTGGCAGGAGCTCCCCCTCCTCCAAAGCACGCCATCAACCGGGGCATTGGCATGGAAGGGCTTGGCTGTTTGCTGGCAGGGGCCTTTGGCACGGGCAATGGCACCACCTCTTTCAGTGAGAATGTGGCTGCGCTTGGTATCACCAAAGTACGATTAGTGCACATAAAAGTGATAGTTTGGATGTTTTGAATGGAAATTCTATGATTTTACACAATACCTCCCATTAAAAATCAATTTACAATTGAAAGGATATTACTTGTTTATAACATTTCCATGATCAAAAGAAATCTCGCTTATTTCTCTTCCAATGTGGCATCTATGGAAACCCACTTTATGTAGAAATTCATGCTATATTTTTATTTTTCACGAAGTAGTTTTAATGTAAGTTGAGCTTGCTTGAGCACTATAACACAGTGTTTGAATGTTGACAGGTGGGTAGTCGGGCTGTGATTCTTCTGAGTGGATTTATCATGGTGTTATTGGGGATGTTAGGTAAAATCGGAGCCATCTTCACAACCATTCCCACACCTGTTATTGGAGGGATGTTTCTCACCATGTTTGGAGTCATTACTGCTGCAGGAATTTCCAATTTGCAGGTAACAGAATTGTGAAAGAAAAAAATACCTTTTACAGTTTTGTTATCTTTATAATTGCATTTTAACAAAGTGTGATGTTTGTGTTGAGACAGTTCACAGACATGAATTCGTCCCGGAATATCTTTGTGTTTGGTTTCTCCATGTTTTCGGCACTCGTCATTCCAAACTGGATCATGAAGAATCCAGAGTTTTTAAAAACAGGTCTGACTTACACACAAGAAAACAGAACTTTAACTTGAATTACAGTTTCTACTATTGTTTTTCTGTTCAACTAGGAAGCTGATAAGAACAAAGACCAGATTTGTGTGGTCAGGTTTGATAGTTTTTGTCCTWTGTGTGTTTGACTCAGGTGTCAAAGAGGTGGACCAAGTGTTGAGTGTGTTGCTGACCACCCATATGTTTGTAGGAGGGTTTCTTGGCTTCTTCCTAGACAACACAATTCCTGGTAAGTTGCAACTGTTACTGAGTCAGAGAAACCTTTTTAATCTTTCTCAGGACGTATTCATTCCAGGAAAGTCCTTTGGTCCACTTGTTTGGTCAGGACCAAAACTGGACACGAAACTCTTTCTTAATCTAAAAAAAGCTGCTAATCTAACAGCTAACCTTCCTCGACACTCTTCAGGAACTAAGCATGAACGAGGACTTCAAACCTGGGATAAACTACAACTCGAAGACCCCAGCAGTTCCGTGGCATCTGAAGAGGTTTACAACCTCCCGTTTGGTATATCTTCTTGCCTCCAAACCCAGTCGTGGGTTCGCTACATCCCCTTTTGCCCAAAGAAAAGCATTGTAGCTCAGGATACGTCAGAAGACATGACCCAGAGCCGGGGAAGTGTGCTCAGCACACGAATCTGAATTTATGGAACATGACATTTTATTTTCATTAAGTCACACATGGAGTTCTTTGGAAAAGTTTGGAGAAATTAATATTTTACCTGTTGTAGATTTATAAACAATCTCAGTTTGTAGGAAACACATTTAAGTCTCATCAGACTGAGAAGCTAATGGGTAGTTMTAGTATCTCAATGGACTGCAATTGTTGAAATACAGAGGGAAGAACGGACAAGTACAAATTTTTGTGAAAATTGCAAGAAAATATGCAAGTTTTAAGTTGCAGTATCACAGAAATTCACGTTTTAGCAACTCAAAAACCAGCGATTGTGTAACTGAACTTTGCGATGCCTTTTATTTTTCCAAAAATCAAAGTGTAATTTTGTGTGCACAGCTTGTAAAGTGTATTCTAGACACATTTTGTTGCCTGCCCTATATCATCAACACCATTTTGAACCCATTTAGGCAGCTGTCCCCACATTTAAAATTTAATTTATTGCAATGTTCTTCTGAAATAAATATAGATTTAGACCACTTTTTTATCAATATCTTTGTCATCAGAGTGATTTTTAAATTTGAATATTTGAAAATTGTAGCTTTGGATATTTTGGATGAGAACTTGTGTCACCTTTTTTAATTTTTATTTTATTTTATTTTATTTTTTTGGCCCAAGGGAAGCAGGGGATAGAGTGACACCTCACTGAGTTGCAATAAAACACATTTATAAATGACTCTCCCAAATGTCTCCAGAATATTTTGACTTTAGCAGGGTCCAGCGCAGAGTCCTCAGTTTCCTCACATGAATCACAGAGGCACACTGTCCTTTTCTTTTAGTTTTGAACATGCTCAAAAAAATAAATTTTTAAAATTGTGTAACAACTTTTCTCTTGAAATAGTTACAAAGTCGTTTGAAGCGTGTACAGTCCTTCTGAAACGTGAGTTGTGTTTTGGGAATCTCCAACCCAACTCGAGTAGCAGTATTTTGAYACAGGTGGCTGTTTGATCTTTTAATCATAAATCCTGAGAATTCAGAAAGACTGCAGTGGAAAAACTCACCTGTTTTCCAGCAATATCCTGTAAATATGAGTCACCAAATAATCTCCCAACAGTCACGGTTCAGACAGATACCACCTTTAAAACTAAAGTGGATTGCTGCCTTTGTGAAACAACAAAACTTCAATAGATCCAAATYATCACTTTGAAATGAACCATCTTTATTTCACTTAGAGCTGCTGACGCATCGCTTCACTTTTATTTGATTTAAAAGCAAAAGAATTTTAATATTCGACATGTAACAAACCTGACAACTTGCAGTTTTTCAATATGCCAAATAGGTTTCCATTACTGTAGCCTGTGAAGTGAAAAAGAAATTATATATATATATA